TTCAGCACCTATTTATGATTAAAATCTCTTAGTAAAACAGGATTAGAATGAACATACCTCAACATAATAAAGGCCATATACATCCACAGCTAGCATCATATTCAATAGTGAGAAACTGAAAGCTTTCCCTCCTAGATCAGCTACTCAGCAAGAATGCCCGCTCTCACCACTACTATTCAACAAAGTATCAGAAGTTCTAGTAGAGCAATTAGGCAAAAGAATGCTATGGAAGGATTCCAAATCGGAAATGAAGTAAAACTATCACTATTATATATACAGAAAACCCAAAGACCCTACTTAAAACCTATTAGAATCAATACAGTGAAGTGGAAGGCTACAAAATCAACATACAACACTGTTGCATTCCTTTACGCAAATAACAAGAAGAAAAAAATTAAGAAAATAATCCCATTTATATTAGCAACAAAAAGTATTAAAAACATAGGAATAACTTTAACCAAGGAGTTAAATGACCTATTCAATGAAAATTTAAACAGAAAAAGAGACAAGGAAAAGAATAAATATTCCCTGCTCACAGACTGTAAGAATTTACATAGTCAAAAATGTCCATCTTACTCAAAGCAATATATAGCTTCAATACAATCTCTGTCAAAATTCCAATGGAACTTTTCAATTTATATGGAACCACATGAGACCCCAAATAGCCAAAACAATCCTTACAAAAATGAAGTATGTAAGTATCAAACTCCCAGACATGAAGCTATATTGCAAAGCCTTTGTAATCAAAACAGGAATAAAAACAGACACAAAGACCAACAGAATAGAACTGAGAGCCCAGAAATAAACCCACTTTTATACTGACAGTTAATCTATGACAAAGAACTGAGCATATACAATGAAGAAAGGAAAGTCTCTTCAACAAATGGTATTGGTAAAATTGAACAGTCACGTGCAGAAAAATGAAACTAAAGCACTCCTTCACACTATTCCTTAAAAATTAACTTAAAATGAGTTAAAGACTTGGATGTAAAACCATTAACCATAAAATATACAGAAAAAAATACAGGCACAACACTCCACAACATTGCTTTCAGGGATGTCTTTGAGGACTGGCCTTTAAAGGTAAGGAAAATAAACAAACGGAACATAAAAAAAAAAATTTCTGCCTGGTATAAAAAAAGAAAAAACAATGAAAGAAAAGACACTCCACTGAATAGGAGAAAATATCTACATACAATGCATCTGACAATGGGCTGATAGCCAAGATCTATAAAGAACTTATATAACTCAACAAAAAGAAAAGGGGTAGAAGAGCTAATCAGACATTTCTCCAAGAACATACAAATGGTCAACAGGCACATGAAGAAAAAAAAAAGGCTCAGTATCACCTATCATTTGGGAAGCGCTAGTCAAGGCCACAATGAGATACCACCTCACATCTGTGAGAAACTCGCATATCAAAAAACCAGAAACAAGTGCTGGTGAGAGTGTAGAGAAAAAGGAACCCTCTCATACGTTGATGGGAATGTAGACTGGTCTGGCCCCTGTGGAAAACAGTATGAAGGTTTCTCAAAAATTAAAAATAGGTATACCCTATGATCCAGCAAGTCCACTTCTGGATATTTATCCAAAGAATGAAAAAAACACTAATTTGAAGGGATATATGCACTCCTACCTTCATTGCAAAGCTATTTACAACAGCCAATTATGGAAATTAAGTTACCAATGACTGATGGGTGATTAAGTGGGACAGAGACAGGATGGAATACTACTCAGCTATAAACAAAGACTAACTGTTGATATTTGAAACAACATGAATGGAACTGGAGAGGCTTATGTGAGGTGAAGAAGCCTGTGGGACAAAGACAAATACTGGATGATTTCACTCATACATGGAATACGAGAAACAAAACCAGGGGACTGACAGAAGTAGACTAAAACAAAACCTAGAAACGTGACTGCAAATTTAAGGCAACTAAATGGGGTGGGGAGGGGGGAATAGAGGAAGGGCCCAGTGTTATATGATAAAGGGATATAGGTGCTCCTGTGGTGAGAGGGCTGTGGTGACGTGCATCTGAGCAGAGTCTATTCCCCTGAATCATATACAGTGATGTAAATCACTGTCACCGCAGTAATTTTTTTAAATGACAATAAAAAAGAAATACTAAAATCTGAGAGCTGGTAGAGACTTTGAAAAAATGTAGAAAAAGTTTTAAAAACTTTTTTTCAATTGAAGTAACACCAACTTGCAACATCAGATAAGTTTCAGATGCACACTTTAATAAATCAACACTGTATATACTACATTATGTTCCTCACCAAAAGTCTAATTCTCATCCTTCACCATACATTTGATACCCTCTTCCCCTTCTCTTTTAGTAACCACCATTTTGTGCTTATATTAAGACCAGTATTTCTGAAACTGAGCTTGTGACCCACTGGCAGATTGGAGACTCTGAATTAGGAATAGCCACTAGCCTTCAAAAACAGTGAGTAAAATATCAGTACAATCCACTTGTTGAAGATGGAAAAATACAAAGAAAGTGTTCACACAGTTCAGTCATAGTCACATAAGATTTAAGCAAAAATACAAGCCATTTAAAGGTAAAGTTCAAATAACGATAGAACTAAGGACCAACAAATCCACTCTGGACTGGATTCTTGACCACAGGGAGAACCAGAGATCTTTTGAGTAAAAGTTATTTCTAAAATTACCAATAATTTCCTTCACTTTAAAATAAGCTGCCCTTTCCTTCCAAATAATCTCATTCAATAGAGTGACTTAAATCACTCATCAAACTTCTGTCTGGACTGCAATGACAATAGAAGCAGTTGAAGTATGTTTGTGTATTTTGTCAGTGAAATGCTTCTAATAAGGGAAAAATCTCCAAAAAGCAACATCCACTGCACCATCTGGGGAAGTCCGGTAATGTCATTTTTTAAAAAAAAAAAAGGGGGGGGGCATAAATCCTGAAAATCAGGGGCTTTATGACAAGTAAAATTTGCTGTCTTTATCAGAAGGGAGGGCCCATTCTACTATGAACTGTACAAATGAACGGATGATAAGGTTTTTCTATGGAAATTTTTACTTAGGTGCTAGAAAATTTAGCTTGACAGGAGAGGAAAAGATAAGATTTTGGTGCCAAAAATAAATAAATTGAAGCAGAACTAGACTGACAGGACTTGTGAAAGGAATCCTTATATCCCATACAAATAAGTTAATGAACATGTTACATACAATACATGTATCTGCCATACAAAAAAAACAGGTCACTTCATGACTAGAAAATTCCATTCAGTAATTCATAAGATATTTCCATACTCCTAATGACTAATAAATTGAAGATAACCTAACACTTTTCTAGAGTTCCTGAAGTTTCGACATCACTCAAGAGAGTATGCCCAACTATCCATCTAAGCCTGTTCTCCATTAACCCCAAACTGCCTTGCTTGAGTTATTTTTATAAAAGGTTTTTACATCTTCAACACTTCTACTAAATGTATAACAAAATTTCCCAGGAGAAAATGATATCATGACCAAAATGCATTACACCTCGTTTTCACTTGCTTTTTATGCATAGTAATTATTTCAATTCAGAAAACTGTACTGAAATCTACTGCTGAAATCTACTGCTGAGCTAGCCAAGCAAGCATAAAGAAGACATAAGTGTCCCTAATTTGGAAACCTCCCAAACTTAAAACATTTTCACGCAGCACCACTCGGTTTTGTTTATTTTGCTTTGCCTCGATGAAAAATTACCTTTCTGGCGAAATTCAAACTATCTTAGAAACCTAGGAGGAAAAATAAACCTGAAAAACAAAATTTCTTTACTTGGAAATAATCATCTCCATCTGACTCGGTACACGCGATCAAATTGGTATGCAGAAGCTTACTTAATGGTGGGAACCCTACCAGATCCTAGATGAAACCCACTACAAAGTATGGAATAAAGTCATAGTCGAATGACCTGGAGCAGAATTCCTTTCATCTCTAGGGCTTTCCGTTTATGTACCTGTAAAATGGGCATGACAGGCACCACCTGCCACAGGAGAGTAGGAGGGTGGCATGTTGAAATTGATGCAGAGCTTTGGAGCGCAGATCAAAGACCCACATGCAGCGCGCCTGAAGGGGGGACGCTGCTCCGAGAGCTCTCCCTGTGCCATGACTGCTCACCTCCGTGACCTTCACCGTTTCTCTTGCGACAAAATGGTGAACGAAAAAGGCTTATCAAGCAGGGCGAAGATAAAGTACCAGCAAGGTGCTGCTTTATCACGAAATCAAATCACGTCGTTAACCATCTAGGACTTGGCCCCAAAGTGTTACTGCATGAACAGCAGGTGCATCTCGGAAAACCTAAAACCCAGTGTTTTTTCAGAGAGGCATGTTCAAATCTGGACGCGTTTTTTAAAAAAAAAAAAAATCAGAAAAGGAATCACAATTCTATTCCCACCCAAGACAAGAGGGACAGAAAAGAGCTCCCACCCCCACCATCCTCGCAGATTCCCCTCATCGACATTCCTCCCTCATTCCTGGCGCACCGGTCCCCACTCGAGCCCAGACAACCGTGAGTCACCTGCCGGGTCTACTCGTCACTTCAGAAAAAGCCCCAAACAACTTCACGGGAGAGGCCGCTCTCCACCGAAGCGGCAATAAGCAGTGAGCGAAGGTGCTAAGGTGCACATCCCGCTGCAAGCGCCTGACTCAGAAAACGAGTAACTTCCACTACCCGAGTGGAGACACCGTTGCGCCCATAAAGGGGGGGGTCCTCAGCTTCTCCCCACTTTCCAGCAGGTGCTTTCCCCGGAGAGCGCGGCTCCGCCTCACCCCGCGCGCCCCCTCCACCTGCGGCGCCCCCGCCCCTCCCCCGCCCCGCCCCGCCCCGCCCCCACCCCGCAAGGTGCCGCGGCGCGGGCTCCCAGGCGGAGGCGCCCGGCGGCGCGCGGGCGGCTCCGGGGACGCGGCGCCGCGGCCGGGGGCCCGCCGGGAGCCAACTCCGCCGTCGCCCGACCCGCGCGGCCGCCCCGGCGCCCCTACCTACCGGCTCCGGGCAGCCGGGGCCCGCGGAAGGTGCGCTCGCTCCGGCCCCGGCCGCGGCGGGCTCCGAGGCCGGGAGGCAGCGGCCGCCGCAGAGGACAATCGCGAGCCGGCGGGCTCGGCACCGCCGCGGCGGGCGCTGAACGCACGAGCCCAGCGGGAGCCCGGCCCCCGCCGCCCGCCCCGCGAGTAACCGCCTCGGCCCCCCGCGGCGGGGCGGGGCCACGCGTGAGGCGGGGCGGGAGCCGCGCGGACGCATTAGGAGAGGCGCCCGCTGATGGGCTGCCGTAGAGGTAGGCGTCGCCGATTTGAAGACAGCCTCGGCGGCGGAGCTCTCTCATTGGTGGAGAGGGGAACACAAAGAGGAGCCCTGATTGGCCACTGCTCGGTAGTCCCGCCCCCCGCCCGCCGTCGGAACACCGCCCCCGCCCGCTCCCGCCCAGGTGGCCGCGGAGGGGTGTGTTTTGTGAAGGAGAAACCGCCCCGGGGAGAGCGCGAGGTACCCAGGTTGCTTTGCCAGACTCGGGCTTCCTACCCCGCTGCGGTTCTTTGATTTCCGTATGAACGTGGAGAATAATCTTTCACGTCGCTTGGATTTACAGTCTGGGGCTCCTTTTTAAATGCTGCTTGAGAAGTGTCAGTAGGAAATTGTCATATGCAAAAAAAAGCCATAAAATGTTTTCACCCCAGCTAGATTATCTGTAGCTTGCTTTTTTTTTTTTAATTAACTTTCTATTTTCCATTGTGAGCATGTTTTAACTTTTAGAAAACGGGTAAGGTGGACATGTTAAAGCAAATTTTGAGAATGTGCAAGGAACTAATTCTTCCGTAATAGAAAATAATGTGCCCAAGAGCTGATGAGGACCATCAAGGAGATATGTCAGCCCCCTTCGGTTCTCTTAAAGAACTTTACACATAAGACTGAGACCCCATATCCTTTCCTGAGTGGCTGCTACTACCTAGCACTTAGTGTAAAATGTGCTATATTATAGACAGAATTGTGAGAAAACTCCCTGAGAGGAAAAAATTATAATCCACAGTACAAAATAAATAAAACCTTAACGAGAGAGAGAGAGAGAGAGAGAGAGAGAGAGAGAGAGAGAGAGAGAGAGAGAGAGAGAGAAAGAGGGAGGGAGGGAAGAAGGAAAAGAAAGAAAAGAAGGAAGGAAGGAAGGAAGGAAGGCTACAAGAAGAAATTCAGAAGATATGACTTGGAAAACTCTGCTAGTGCAGGGAATTCTAAAAAGAAGTGTAACTGCATTTCAAGAAGTGATTCAGACTTAGAAAATGTAAGCTGAGGCAAGAGGGGAGCTGAGATAATCATCAGTGACCCTTAATTAAAGTAATCTGAGCTCTCAGGCCACTATCAGCCAGGTTTTGTATCATCCTGGTCAGTTTACAAGGGGAGAAGCATATCTCAACTGGGGACCATACTCTTAACTCTCTTTACTGCCTTGTCATGGGGATCTGAAATAAGCTATTTGAACTGAAACACTTCCCTCAATAACCCCATAAATTATGTAATAGTGAAGATGGAGATTGATAAAAATCAAACATAAGGAAGGAAAGGAATGTTAAAGTAAACATGAACTTGAAAAGAAGTAAGGATAAGAAACCTGATACAAGACCAGGACAGATCCTTTTTCCTCTCTTATTTCCTAAGAATAAGGTAAAACTCTGGAGGACAGTACCTCATTACATTTTTTTTTTGACAGAACCCTGTAATAAATGGAATACTAAGTGATAGTCTGAAAATGTGTCCCAGAGTACTCTCAGCAGATAATTTAGTAGTGAGATCTGTTTATGTTTAAATTACGTAAGAATAGCAAAAAAGAGGGATTTAGCAATGCCTCATATGAACGAATTGGTAAGAAAATACTCCAAATGTTTTTATTATCCACAATCATGCCTGAAATTCCAGCACTGACATTTTTTCTTTAGAATTAAGTTAATTTATATCAAAGACTGTTCTTTATCTCATTTACTAATCAGACATGTAATCAAACTTAATCATCAACTGCTAGTTCCTTAAATGAACGAGGCACTCTGCTACCTGACCACAGTAAACTGGAAGCTATTTATTAGTAGTTGAAGACATTTAATGAACCAATAAACAGATGAATTTACAAAGTGGCATAAGAGCAAATAAGAAAATACCCTAGAAATAATCTAAGAAAGCTTAAGATACCAGTTACCACCTAAATGAAAAAATACCAAGTATGCAAAACTCCAAGGGTATGGCATTCCTGGCAGAGGAAACGTCAAGGATACAGGGAGGAAGTGATGTTGGAGGAAGAGAGAGGAGATCTTGTGGCTGGAAGAGTGCAGAAGAAGAGTGGCACCCAAGAGGTCAGAGAAGGGGGAGGGCCTTGTAGACAATGGTGAAATTTGTATAATTGCCCTTGTTCCTGACTGGGGTAACATTTAAGCTGCTCATGTTGAATCATTAATTTTATTTTTCCCTTTTTCAGAGTCACCAGAGATATGGACATTCACTCACTATAACAGTCTATTACGCACAGATGGATGAAGAAACTACATTCACCAGGGACAGACAGACTGGGGGAGGTGTCTAACACTGAGTAAGATGCAGAGCCTGATGCGTCTAGTGACCCCACAGACGATGGGCATGAAGTCAGCAGTGCGTTGGAAACATTATCTTGAAGGAAATTACCCTAAGGAAAATGAGGGATCCTTTGAATAAAGGAGTCATCCCAGTGAAAGGAGGCAAGGTTCTAGATCAAGGGAACAAAAGAGAAACACTGAGCAGCGTGCAGGAAGAAAGAAAGCTGTCCTCTACCTTTAAATAATACACAGCGGGGTAAACCATGTTACTTCAGTAAGAAACAAAAGAAATCTAATGCACAGCCTTAGGGGCTGTTGCATAAAACATCAGCTTACCCACATCACAAGCTGGCCTAGCATGCATGAGCTCTGAATCTGAAAACAAAAATCCAGTTAGTAACGGCATTCTAAAGGCATGGGAGCTGAGCAAAGTATGAGAAGAAATAGGCTAATTGTCATTTTACAGTCATCATCTTTATTTCTTTTGTTTTCTTTTTTTTTAAAGATTTATTTATTTATGCATACAAGAGCTGGGGTACCGGCCAGAGATGCTGGAGGGGGTGGTGTGAAAGTATCCACCAGAGACAGAGTGGGGAACAGAACAGGCAGACCCACTGAAATACACTGCTGAGGGGAGCAGCGGGCGAGACAGGAGAGGTCTGCTCACCATGTGGGTTGCTCCAAGGCTGGCGGGGATTGAACCGGCACTGCAGAGGCTGCGGACAGCTTCACAGCGCTGCGCTCAATCGCCTGCGCCACCAGGGGAGGCCCCAGTAAGTTCATGCTTAATTGGCATTATCAGGAAGATTTGCTCTCCAGACCTAACCAGTAACTAAAGCTTGCACTTCCCCTTTGAGTGGTTTCTGACACTTTTGGAAACCCTTATGGTGAAGCATTTGACTATGCCTCTGGTGAGCAGGGCATTTTGTCTGACTGGTTTCAAATTCCTGTAGGCCACCATTTACCCATGCTCCTTTTGGAGGTCACCTTCTCAGGTGTTCCTTGGGGACAGCTTTTTCCGTACTCAGGAAAGCACAGTACTCTGTACCTCATCCATCCTTGACTCATTGGTAGAACCACAGCTGGCCCCCACAGCACAAGGGTCTCCAGCATTCTCCCTCCTCCTTTGCCTTCTCCGAACTGCAGCCTCAAGCCAATACCATCAGCCTTTCTCCTCTAGTTCTCTCAGGTAAAAGGTGTCTACTCCAAATAGCAGGTACAAATCAAGCTGTCCTGGTGCTACTATCAATGCCCCCTCTCTGGGAAGATTATGGAGGAAGATCTTAGAAAAGTCGCTGGGTAGAACACAGCATTGCTTTCCTCAAATAAAATGCCTTCATACATCCTTTCCTAAACTCCACTTCCTCTGCTTTTAATGATCCTATTTTGAGTAAGGGATTTAAGAGTCATCAGGTGGCTAAGCTATTATCTGTAAGATTTGCTTCTTGGGGCCTCCCTGGTGGCTCAGGAGTTAAAGTCTCAATGCTATCAGGCTGTCGCCAGCCATTGCAGCATAAGTTCCGTCCCCTGCCAGGGAGCTGACCCACATGGCACAGCAGACCTCCCCTGTCTCACCCGCTGCTCCCCTCAGCAGTGTATTTCAGTAGATCTGCCTGTTCTGCTCCCCACTCTGTCTCTAGTGAATCCTCTCACCACCACCACCACCTCTGGCCTACACCCTAGGTTCTTGTATGCATAAATAAATAAACTTAATCTTTAAAAAAAATTTGCTTCTTGCTCCACCAACTTCCTCTAGAATTCCCCATCATCTATCTCTTGGTGTCTCTTTTCACATCTGTCATACTAATGTGAATCTCTAAAAACTGTTTTTGTAAATTAATGCTAAGGACATAAGATTTTTTAAAACTGTATTCTTTACATGAAGGGGGAAATCAAATTCTTTTCTTTTTAAAGATCTATTTATTTATGCATACAAGAACTGGGGTACAGGCCAGAAGTGCAGGGGAGGTCAGAGGATTCACCAGAGACAGAGGGAGGAGCAGAACAGTCAGACTGACTGAAACACACTGCTGAGGGGAGCAGTGGGTAAGTCGAGAGGTTGCTGTGCCATGTGGGTCACCTCCCTGGCCGGGGATCAAACTCATGCTACAGTGGCTGTGGACAGCTTTGCAGTGCTGCTCTTAAATCCCTTTGCCAACAGGAAGGCCCCGGAAATCAAATTCTGTACAAAACTAAACAACAATATAAGTTAATAAATAAATAAATTTAATTATTTTTAAAAAGTGTTCTCTAAAATCATAGGCTTTGGGAAACTTAGTTGTGTCAGTGAGTGTCAGTGAGAAGGGAACACCCACTCTTGCAAGATAATGGAAGCCAGGAGTCACTGACACAGGGAAGCAGCCTTGATGGTAGGCACAGGTGTGGACCTTTGGATAAGAGATCGGGGCCACACCACTCCACATTTATCTTAATTTTATTATTTCCAAAGAAATAGAACTCAAAATCTGCCTTTTCGGCCCACACCTGGGGT